ATACAAGCACTCACACGCCAAGACCTTTTGTGACCAAATCATTTAGGAAACAGCTTTTCGACAGCCTCCACAGTTTAAGCCATCCAGGCGCTAAAGCTACCACTAAGCTGATAGCTGAGCGCTTCGTTTGGCCTGGAATACGTAAGGACTGCCGGGAGTGGTCGCGAAAATGTCTGGAGTGCCAACGCGTCAAGGTAAACCGCCACGTGTCAGCACCATTGGGGACGTTCGATTTACCCCGTGCTCGCTTCGCTTTTATTCACGTGGACATCGTCGGCCCCTTACCAATATCTCAAGGGTACCGGTACTGCCTCACCGTCGTGGACCGTTTTACCCGTTGGCCGGAAGTCACCCCAATGACCGACATAACAGCTGAAACAGTCGGGAAAGCTTTAATATCGTGGATATCCAGGTTTGGATGTCCTACCGATATAGTAACTGACCGCGGTCGGCAGTTCGAATCCACACTTTTTCAGTTCCTTGGAAAAGTGATCGGATTTAAACATCGCCGCACAACCGCGTACAGGCCAGCTTGCAACGGGCTCGTGGAACGGCTTCACAGGCAACTTAAGGCAGCCATAATGTGCCACGCTGACCACAATTGGGTGGACACCTTGCCCTTAGTGCTATTGGGCATAAGAGCAGCATTCAAAGAGGATCTGAACTCTTCTTCAGCAGAACTCGTGTATGGAGAACCGTTACGCCTGCCTGGAGAGTTCTTCTTGACGCCTACTCCTTGTACAACTGATCTGTCAGACTTTACCGCTCGTCTAAGACACCTAACCGCTAAAATCCGTCCATCACCAGCAGCTCGCCACTGTAAAAATAAAATTTTTATTTACAAAGATTTGGCATCGTCGAGTCACATTTTTCTAAGAGATGACTCCGTAAGAGGTTCCTTACAGCCTCAGTATACCGGTCCTTATCAAGTGCTTGACAGGGGGGACAAGACTTTCAAGATACTGGTCAAAGGCAAGAGCGTAACGGTTTCAATAGACCGACTTAAGCCGGCTTACATACTTAAGGACCCCTGCCCTGACCCCTTGACTGAAACCACTCCTACTTCTATCTCTAACCCCATCCCTATTCCTACCCCTATCGCTCATCCTAACCCCCGTCAGGATATTCCTGTCGATACATTACCCAGAACTACCCGTTCTGGTCGCAAGGTTCGATTCCCGGATTACTTTCGACCGCAGTGACGGTCTCTGGGGGGGAGTGATGTGGGGCTCACACCACATATATACATGCATACATACATACATACATTCACACTTATTACCTATACCCATAATATTTATATTTAATATATTAAGCATACACAGACGTACTAACACGCGTGCAATAGGCGGGGCTTACGCCTCCTACCACAACGGCGACGCGCGGGCGCACCGGCCCTTGTATCCCGCGGCAGTCAGCTTATCGCTCCCGCTATGCTACCCTGTGTCGCTCGCTATCTTGACGCTCTGTGGCATCTACCGCGCACTGTATTAATTGTTATAATTTTTTCTTATACTTTGTTTCCGAGCTTTGAACTGTTTATAGTGTTTCTTCCATTTTCTTATTATATTGCTTGACTTTACCCTTCTGTTCTTTGTGCTTGTTTTACTTAACTGTGTGATTCGTGAAATAAAAACATTTGTGACCTGTACTGGACCTTTTCTTGGACTTGTGGTATGTGAACATTTTTACTTTTACCTAACACGCTACAAATACATCTTGTTTGTGATTAAATATCCCAATGCTGCCAATTTTATAAAGATTTGGTATTGTAATTCTTATGTTTTTGCAGTCTCATTGATGATAGGAAATTATATATAAACTAACATAGAATATATTATACTAACCTAACACATTTCAAATATAGTATATTGAGATTTATTATACTACTAATTTACTTCAATTACAGTATTAAGTAAGATTTGCTTTAAGTAAAAGGAGTTTATTGCAGAACAACAATTTAAAAAAAACAATATTCAATAAAGAACAATAATCAAATGAGACTCAAAAATAAATACACAAAAGTATTTAAATGTGTCACTTCAATAAAAACATTTACAAATTTGCTAACAATACAGTTAATCTTCAACCAAAAACACGTTAAGAACAAAAATATTTATTAAGACTTGCAAATGTAACTTAGTCTTAAGTTACCCTTACTTTGGGTGCTTTGTAACGTAATTAGTACTTTCTACTTTTCATCTTAAAGTATTTTCTCATACTTAGTACAACTCACAAGTAAATCAAATTCAGGTTTTGAATAGGTACTTACATCACTATGTAATCACTCAATTCATAATTCACATTAACAGTATGTCAGTCTTTTGATCAGGTTGTTCACAAGCCTTTAGAAGACAAATGCTAGGAGTCATCTAAATATCAGGATGAGTCATCATCGGAATCAAGGTCATCAGAAGAATCGTATGAGGAATCACTGCTGTCCGATGAGGAGTCTGAATCGTTATCACTGTCATCATCAAAACATAGTTGTTCATGTTTTTGTAAACCAGGCAACAAAGTCATGGAAGCCATTTGGACAGCCATTTCATTTTGCATGATTGATATTTCTTCCTGCTGTACCATCTCTGCAGCTTGTTCTAATTCCAATAATTCTAAACCTAAATCATTTTTAGATATTTCAATGTTTGCTATATTGTTACACAACTCATCTAATTCCTCAGATCCACATTTTTGTAAAAATACCAAATAATCCTTTATATACAACTGGTTTAAAATATATCTTGCATCATTACTAGTGTTAAACATTTGATGTATTTCAATCATAGCTTTAATGACAGACTTTTTTCCTCTACGGAATAATGTAACTAAATCATTTTTCACTCTATTGCACAAATAAAAATTTCTGAATATTGGATAAATTAACGCACGTCTGTAGCAAGCAATCAAAACTTGTCGCACATCTTTAAACACGCAGAACCAACTCAGAGTTGAAGATAGTTTGTTTATAGTCCAACTCGATTCTACAGTACTTTCATTCAAAGTTGTACGTTTATCATAACAATAACCATAGAGAATATCAACTAACCCATATAAGACTTCCTTATATTCCAGAGTAGTCAGCAGAAAGTTTTTATTTGGCAATTCTTTTAGTATACCCACTTCATCATCAGAAAAGTCTGCTTCAGTATTAGTGTTCTGACTATTTGACATTATATTCTCCATCAAATACGGTTCTAGCAATTCAGTGTCATAATAATCTGCTAAATAGTGGTCTGAAGAAAATTTGTCATTTTCATGTTTGATGCGCAATGGTTGGCGTTCATCTATAGACACATCTTCAGGTACTCTCAATTCAAAAATTTGAGGGAATTCATTACCGATATTACTAAACTCAGTAGTTATTTTATTGGCAAAACCATAACTGTGTTTGCTACATCCATCATGGTCGCTTTCTGGATCTAGATCTATTGTTATTTCACTGTCCTCAAGCTCTTCGACAAGATTAGGATTTAGATCTGGTATATCTCTAGGGGCAAGCAAGCTAGTTATCATGTCCAAATTCTCGAAATGTTCGCCAGGATTTTGTTTGTCGAACGATAAATTGAAGTCTCCTGAATCACATATGTAGGAACCTTTAGATCGGTCATTATCGACAATCTTGCCGGGCAAACGCAAACGTAAGAAGTATGGGCTTGAGACGAATAGAAAATTTTCACCTTCTACGTCTATCTCCGTATCACCAAGATTTGTATATGGAGCGTGCACGTTTATATAGACGTGGTTGTCATCCTGGGATAACTTGAACCTCGGAGTTAACATTTTACTACAGCAAAGATGGTCACTTTTTCATAAAATCGATTTATTTAAAGTTTTATAATATAAGTTAAACACAGAAGCACGTGTTAAACAAATTCCACTGACACAATACAATACAATTTTATACATCAATCAAAGTTCAGTCCACAGATAACTAGATACTAGTTAGAGACAGTGCTGCCAACAGTTAAATGAACTCTCCACCAGATTCAACATCGAAAACCACCAGAAAACCACTAACGAAAAACGATTCTACTCTAAAAGGCACAAAATTTTAGTCTAAACATTTTATTTTAGTAATTACGAAAGAAAACCATTAGTATGGTAATACGTATAGTAAAAACTAAGCATTAGTATAGTAACTAGTTTCCTAAATTATAATTTAAAACTAATCGTTTTTGTCAGCCCCCTCATCGTCGGTTTCAGATTAATACGATACTTTGGTACCGATTTGCTTTACAACATTTATTGGGATTTCATATTGGTTGCAACATTCTCCTTCCAACTTCAAACCACAGCGTATTCTTAGTAGATGGAGGACGGAGGTCGTTCTGCGACCGTCTACAGTAACTGGCCCATTAGCGGGCCTGGAGGGCCTTTAGATTTCTAAACCTCTTCAGGTTACGTCTTACGTCCTCGAAGTTATAGCCGACATTATTGACTTCTTTCTCGACTCTGAAACCTTTTCCTCTCTCTCTGGCACAAAGCCTACATCATCACGTTGCCTAAAATTAATAATTCTTCTCTTCCTGAGCATTTTTATCCAATCCCTATCCTTCCTTTCCTATCAAACGTTCTTGAGGTATTCTAGGAACTGTCCATCTCAACTTCAACAAACGGTTCTCACAGTTCATCTTTGGACAGTATTTCCTTAGTCCTCTACAATCTGACTATTTCGACTAAGCCGCAAAAAAAAATCCACTAGCCACTAAAAGCATAATTTCGCCACTAAAAGGGGGGTCGAAACCACCAGTTTTAGTGGAAAATCCACTAGGTTGGTAACACTGGTCAGAGAGTTCTGTCACTTATGGTCATGAATAAAAATAATTTAAAAAAAAAGTTCGGTCACTGTAAGAAAAGAAATGGATGCATCCAATGATAATTCGTCAGTGATGCCATATTCAGAGGCGTAGCGTGGCCTCTTAATTTCGGTCCCAAGACATAGGTGCCGAATACATCTATTTTACCAAACATGCTTCGACAGGACATACCTACTCATGACAGTGAAAAAAATGCGGGATGGCAGAATATTAGAAAGCATATTGATTTGAAAAAAGATTTTCTTTTGTAACTTGCGTGATTTAATTTTTTACCAAAGTAATTTCTTCGGCTTTTTGCTTTACTGAAGTCCTCTAGTAGACTTGTAATTAATTTTTGCAGCTAAATCTGCTTCGATGAAAAATATTGGTAAGTCAGGCAGTCGGACCTACTTGTTACTGTTTCTCAAGTAGTTTTTAATAATTAAAACTTAGAAATACTTCTTTTTGCGCAAGCTGTACTTTCAGATCAGATACGTATCTATAATAAGATTCTATGTAGTTGATTTCTTCATCTTGAAGTACTACACCTAAGTCGTTACAATGCTTTAAAATCTCGTTATTTGGCAAAGATTTTAAACTATGTCGTTCAAGAATCCAAAATTGTTGTTAAATTTGGTTAATGCAGTAAATCTTCTGTTAGTATCTTGTATTACGATTGAAAAAGGGAAAAGGTTGTCTGTCGGAGAGAGTAATGTTAGCCATTTGTCTTAACATAGTCGGAAGTGCAAGAGTCTACGACCAGACATATGCTATGCGGGTGGTCGCGGGGAGGTTCAGGACGGTCTCGAAATGCGGCGAAGCATTTACCCACAGGCACTGCCTAACCTTGAAAAGTTGATGCAGTTGATGATGAAGTTGATGACCTGCGTCAATTGGTAGGTGACGTGACCTACGTCACCTACCAATTGACGCAGGTTTTCCTCAGGCATAGTTGCTTCGGTGAGTACGTGAATTCGATCGGACGTGAGTAGACGGCACAATGCCAGCACTGCAGCCAACTGGGCAAGCCAGCATATGCAAGAGATATGCACCGCATGGGTGTCTAAACGAGAGGTCCTGGTAAATCGAATCGGACGAGATTTGTCCCCGACGGCAATCGTATCAAAACATGGTCGTTCCACAACACATAGGTAGTGGGCCATAAGGCGGGGAAAACCTGCGGCATCTCCCGGGATAGAACTTAGTTAGGCGCAGCGTTAATATGGGAGGAACCTGAAATCACATGGTCCAGGTCCTCCCAGAGTTAAGAGCCTGAGGCCGGACGTCAGGCGGGCTTTTAGAAGAAACATCACATACTCCTACTCAAAGGCGCTGGTAATCCCAATGGATTTTCCACCCCGTTAATAAAAAATGTCTAACTAGTAGTAGCTCAGGGCCCCACAAATTCACGACCCGCCTCTCTATATGTCCGTGTAACAAATGTATAAATAAAAATATCTGTTATTACATTATAAGTAACATTATTATTATCAGTAAATTGTGTTTTTTTTGTACTGCGTGTAAGTAGATGTGTTTGGGCAATACTATGTGTGATCGCAGTTGTCCAATTCTTCACATCATACGGCATCTACAACTACTCGCATTTAGCTCCAGAGGTTATAGATAGCCCACTATTCAAGCAGATAACACCTACATTACGACCTTCCTCCACGTTACGTTACGTTCCTCCACTAAGTCGATCCAAAAACCCAACGGGGACACAGTTAACACAATTTCTATCGGATTTGTATTTGATTAATAAATTGTCATTTAATACAATACACAAGTCTGTAGTTTGTGGGTAAAACATATTTTAAAATCTATTGCTCTTAAAAAACCAAACACTTCCAAACCACAGATATGGGACGTCAGTAAGATAATAACATATTTGCGAAATTGCGAAATGTAACGTAAATGAATTATTTATTTATTTATGCACATTTGTACATCGGCGGACTTAATGCCCAAGGCATTCTCTCCCAGTCAACCTTTAGGTAGTGTAGAAATCGTGAGTGGTAGACGCATATAGGTTATAACACTAATCACTAAGATATACACCACACAACACAACACACGTAATTTTATACACAAGCACACATAAATATACACATACATACACACATATACATATATATATATATATATATATATATATATATATATATATATATATATATATATAAATACACACACTATACATATATATGTATATACACACATACAGACATATATTCTCACTATATTCGTGCACCATGAGTGTAGGCAAGTTGGTTGCTGCACTCTCGATTCGATGATTCTGCCGTCTCGTTAAGAAGAAGGTTGTGTACTTTCTTTTTGAATACGGAACGGTTTGTGGACATCCTGATTTCAACCGGGAGTGCATTCCAGAGTAGAACTGCTTCAACGAAGAACGAAGAGTTCACGAAGTCGGAATTGTGAGAGGGGCATAAGAGAAGCAAATTATTTGCAGAGCGAAGATTCCTGTCGTGATTAGACGACAAGAAACGGAGGAAGGGTGCAAGGCATGTAGGTGAGGATGGGGAGGTTAGAAATGAATATAAAGAAGTCAGAGCTCGCTGATTGCGGCGCAGGCAAATGGGTAACCAGTTTAATTGGGAACGTAAGGCAGATACATGGTCATTTCGAAGGTTGTAAATGTACCGAATGCAGTTATTAAGAAGGCGGTCCAGCTTATTAAGGAGGTCTGCATTCAGGTCGAAATAACATACATCACCATAGTCGATTAAAGGAATCATTGAGGACTGCATGAGAGTAGTTTTGGTTTTAGGAGGCAGGAAATTTTTGAGGCGATATAGTGTTCGCAAGTTTCCGCTTACTTTTTGACTCACATGAGTAACCCGAGCTCGCCAAGCCAGTTGAGCCAGTTGAGTCAACGAGTAGACCTAGGTCCCTGACTACAGGGCTGAAAGGTATGACTGAGCCATTGAAGACGATCGGTGAGATTGAAGCAGTATTTAATCTGCTTATCATTTGTTTGCTGCCTACAATGATGGCCTGGCATTTGGTTGGGTTTACCGAGAGTCCGAATCTCATCGACCAGGAATTTATGAATTCTAGGTCCGTGTTAACCTCGTTAACACCTTGCGCCACGTTCTCCACTCTTGCCTGTGAATACAGCTGCAGATCATCAGCGTAAAGGTGATACGCACATTGAAGATGTTGTGTGATGAGATTAATAAATATTGAAAATAAAAGAGGAGAAAATATTCCGCCTTGTGCGACGCCAGAGTGGAGGTCGCACCAGCTCGAAGAGGCGTCTTCGACACGAACACACTGCTGTCGCCCCTGAAGATAGGTGGACAACCATTCCAGTGCCTCTGTGGGAATCATTAGATGTGTGAGGATAGATAGTTCGATTTCGTGATTGACGGTGCCGAAAGCATTAGAGAAGTCGACTAAGACTAATACTGTAACCTTAGTGTCTTCCATGCCCCTTCTAATATCGCCAGTCACTTTGAGGAGAGCGGTAACAGTGCTGTGACCGGGCCCGAAGGCGGACTGTAAAGGACTTAGCAGCTTATTTCGGTGTACAAATTTATAATTTACCTTATATATATATACGTTAGTATATACGTATATATACCAATAACGTATATATACTTTATTTATATACGTTATTGGTCTTAATGGTCAACAATAAAATTGTTCACATATCGCGAATTGAGTCCCAACCAAAAGCTTGTACCTTTCTTCATCCGGTGTCCTTCGGTCTTTTCCTTTTTTTAAATAATATATCCAACGTTGTGAAAGATGGTGTCAAAAGGGTAGGTAGAAATCGTGTTTCTGTTGAATTTGCAACGCCTCAAATTCAATCAATGCAATGATACAAATTCATTTTTACTTAATTTTTCCTTGCCAATCATAAATTTCAAGCGATTATCCCATCATTTAGCAAAACAAGAATGGGTATTGTTGAATCCACAGAAACCTGCGTTCTCATATTTGATGGTCAGGTTCTACCAAAGAAAGTTTTTTGCTGCTGAGGTGTAGCAGATTCTGTACAAGTATATATTTACCCCTCCACACATTTTTTTTGTGACAATGTAGAAGGTGTTGCAGGTTTGGGCATGTAGAGTCTATCTGCAGATCCAAACCTAGAGGCCTTTTGTGTGCTATGCTCTGGAGCTCACTTCTATGCTAGTAACAGGGCTTGCCCAGACTATGGCAGGCAGAGGGCTATAAAGACAGCCATGGCAGAAAATAACATTTCCTAAATAGAAGACAAATAGAAGAATTGTGGAGGAACGGATCTCAAGTCCCTCCAACACAATGGGAGGATTCTCCGACCAAGCGAGGTGATCATGCCTGGTGGGCTACGACCCTAAGGTTGATGTTGGGAAATTGTATAAATGCTAATCGGCGAGAGAATTCTTTATATCGAGATACAGGAATAGCAATTCTCATTCAGGAGTTACTCCGTAGTTCGGTGTGTCTTCGTTAGATGGCGCTGTAGTATGTTTCTGTTTCTTTGTATGTGGGAGTCGCCACAACTTTATTAAAATTAGACCAAGAAGTCCAACGTTTCCAAACTAATTCATAAGTTGTAGAAACAAACTTGTAGACTTCCGCCAAGACTCTCTGAGCAAAACCTAATTGTCCAGTATTCCTTGAGTCTCGCGGAGGACCACCCCCACATTTAAATACTTCGAGAGTTATGTCCTCCACTTCACTGGTGGAAACCCCGTGATGTGGTCTGGCTATTTATTTCTGTAACCATGGAGCTCATGGTCTGTCTAGGCAACCCCAGCTTATCACATAGCGTCTAAGTAATAAAGTTGGCTGCACTACCGTTATGGAGCAGGATTCTGGCGTTAACCTTGTTTCTTCGGCCATCCATCACCTTGACCAGCGCTGACAGACAGACAGTAAAATACACGAAAAGGGAGTATTTTGTATAAAAAGATCACTGGATAAAGCTAAATTTGGTGTGGGTGGGCACTAGTGGGCAGGTACTAGTGCTGCCCATTGATACGTCAGTGCTAGATGCAACACTGCTTGGCATGGGGTCAACAACATCGGTAGGTTAATTTACATTTAAGAGCGTATTATGATTCCCTATACAGTATTTGCAGCCCGCTCATCTACATCGTTTTGTTGTATGGCCAAAACGTAAGCAATTCAAACATACTTTCAATTTCCTAGCCTTTGCACTACGTATTTCTACTGGTAAGCTACGAAATAATTTATACGTGATCAACACATGATCTTCACTGCACACAGGACATGACCTCTGTTTATTTGGAGGCCTTTGCTCAATAATAAAAGCGTTAGGTTGGGTATCTACGGACTAACTAGTATTATTTTGGTTATTTTCTAAAGTCTCCATTAAATCACGCTTTTGCCAAGGAAGGAAACAAATTTTGACATGGTTGTTTTGTTGGTTACATCGGATTTTTTTATTATATTACAATGCTCCTCCCAATCTCTACTGGTGACAGTATCAAGTTTATTGGACATCACATAACGGATACGAGTGTCCCAGTATTTGCTAGGTTCATTTAATGTTTTAATAGCTCTAATATTTTAGTTATACACAAAGTACTCGGCTATGCACTGCTATGATTTCCTCGGCTATGCACTGAACATCAAACAATGCTTTGACGTGATTATCAGCTTAAAGCCGACCATTGCTAAACTCATCACACAGCAAACTCCACGCCAAGTCATAGTGATCAGTCTTAAAATCAATATTTTTAATTGCTTCTAATGCATCATCTGTCACTGATGCACGAAGATAGTCGAATTTACTTATGTCATCAATAGCACTACTGCTGTGGATTAATGACGAGATGATAAAGAGAGACGGAAGAAAAGATTTAATCTTTATTTATTTTGGTTATGCCATCATGGTCTCTCCTACTACTATGATCTGTAAGATTTCCCATAACAACAGAGATAGAGTAAAACAGAAAATACGAAGGTTTCTTGAGAGAAGAACGTCGTAGACAATAAAATTTTTAGCTCCAGTATATGGTGATCTTTTGTTGAGGTCAGAAAAATCCTGAGCTTTCCAATTTTTTTTCGCTATTGGGTTTTATGTGGTGCCGGTCGAGCCGTAGATGAGAGTAAGACTCATTGCCTTCTATATTTTCAGCTTCTTTATTTAGCGGATCATATTTAAAATGTCTTACATTTTTCTGCACTGACACAGATAGACAATTAATCGAATTTACCATCTTGAGATTGTCGATGTGCTTTACAGGTATTGTATAGCATGCTTATATTTAGATTACCTTAACTTCACGACCCTTTTTTTCTTTAGTCACAAAACTTTGCCACAGTAATTCATGGACCTTTGTTGGGAGCGAGTTGGTTTAGGCTCTAGTTGATTATGTAAATGTTTTTTGTCTGAACAAGTAATTCTCTTTAATATGATTCAGTATTTTGTATAAATTTAAAAAAGCTGGTACTTATCAATTTTATAAAAACAAGGAACCTCATTAGAGGATAACATTCAAATTAGTTTTTCAGTTTATACTTAGATTTGATAGTGTGTCAGAAACGGGATATGTCAATGACCTCTTCAAGGAACTAATAAAACTAAAGAATGTAATTTACCCGTAGAAAATTTATTTAGTTTAAATAATAAGTTTCAAAGTTCCAGTAATAAACTATGCTTAGAGTTGCAACCTATGCTTTCAGTGTAAGATCAATTTTAGTAAGTACGATCCTTTTTTGGTTGGTTGGTGGTGGTTTTTTTATCAGTTGTAGATAGATTTCTGAATAGTGAATCCGACTGCATACAATCCCACCTATGAAATGGCGTCTATAAAGCCCATTTTATTTAACGGACGAAATCAGCTCCTACTAAGAACATGATAGCGTACTGTTATTAAAAATTATCTTTGGTGACGAAAGGGAATAGATTAAGTTTACATTAGGTCTTTGACATCGTCATCAATTTTTGATGTAAGTCTTGTTTTTCATTCTGAAAGACTCAGACATACAGTAACAAGTTCTAATGTAACTTTATATTAGTAGGTCGGAGACACATTGGACGATAAAAATTAAATTACGTGCAAATACGACTACATTACATTTACGATTGTTGAATTTAATAACATGGTCATTTTGTCCGCAGTCCCGTCGCCATCCAATAGATTGTCATGTAGCATCATTCACCCGCTTTCCAATAAACAACGCAATATATAATCCGCGACAACGTGAAGCTTGCCCTTTGCCACCGCCACCACCTCCAAAACCGCCTAAAGATGACTCGTTACTGTGGGGTACGGTGACCATACTCGTCTTAGCTGGAGCGGGCATTGTGACGGCCAAGTGAGTGCCTCTATGTGATTGTTTATTTCCACTTCATTAAAGACTGTAAAATTGATAAATGTACACTTTAGGGCAAAAGCTGATGTCATCCTACTTCCGCATAGCCCAGGGTTAGGATGGCATAAGTAATCTTGGGGAGTAAATTTCACATCGATTTTTTTTATTTTCTTTTTTTTAAAGACACCTCCCTCCCGCATTAGGAATAGATCCTGGGTCGCAGGGGACTTTACAAACATACATGATACGGACACAAAGAATACCCAGACTCAGAACAACAATTTGTGGATCACACAAAGTGTCCTCCCATGTGGGGATCGGACCCACAACACTCAACGTGTAGTGTAGTGAGCGGCGTGGCGACCGCTTAAACCACTACGCCATCCCTGCAGTCTTACTCTTCTGTAATGCAAATCGAGTTGTTAATTAGACTTCTTCCTTTTGTACCCTTGATTAAATAACATCTCGCAAGTCGTAATAATTGGCGTTTACATTTGTTAACATACAGAAGCTCTCCAGAGGTACGGGATTGGCTGACTCTATATGCGCCCTGGGTGGACGATCTTATAGCTATTCTATACGAAGAGAATATGACATACGGAGAGTTTACTAATAAATGCATAGAAGATATGCAAAAGTACATTGATTCGTTTTCTGAAGAAAAAGATAAACCAAAACCATGTTCTCTTGACGGAAAGAAACCAAAATCAATTCCAGGTAGTGTTCAATAAGAACAGGCTTTTGTTAATTATTTGGCTTTCCTTTAAGGTTAGCTATTTTTTTTGTATCAGAGACAATATCACTCAAAGGATCTTTAAGTTTTTTACCATCATCAACAACCTTTAGTAGTCCACTGCTGGACATAGGCCCCTCCTTAGAAAAGAGGTTTTTCGCCTACTATACTAGACGTGGCCAGACGGGTTAGTATAGGGTTTGTTTCAAGTGTTCCTTCTCTTTGCAGTGATATTGTTCTGCTGAGTTTGCTCCCTAAGTCGGCTCTTACGACACCCACCTGGATGAACAGGGATGGTGACACTGCGTATTCCTTCACCACACGAACATGTTTTTATATCAGACGCTTATTGCTAGAAAACCTAGTCTAAACACATCTTCAAATTTTATTAATTTGCTGCTGATAATATGACAGTTGGAGCAAGCTTTAACCTATACTTGTCATAGTTTGCATAATTATAATATCGTTTTCTATGAGTTTGTAGCTATTGGAAAACTAGTGGAATTACAACTGAGTAAACTGAGTTCTTAGTAGTAAGACAAAATCTTTTAGCACGTTGTGTGTTACCAAAGATAACGTATAGTACATTGTCATTAGCATTATTGGTAAAATAACTTGAAGTTGCACAATCGGTTCTAGCAGAAGGTTTAAAATTCTGTCGTATCTATTTATTTTGAAGCCAATAATTAATTATTTTTCAGCTGCACCTGCCGCCCCCAAAGGATCGGGCGATGACGACGAAGAAGGTAAGAAAAAACAAGTATTATTGACTTCAATATGTATTGCTCCTGGCTTATTATATTTGGAGATAAGTTGAAGATATAAACTTTTAAGTCCCAAATACATAAACAGCGTAATGGTTTACCTTTTTTTTCAATAATGGGATTTCATATTAGAAGAATACTTAATTATGAAATAAATGTCTTCGGAATCAAAACCAATAAGATCAATAAGTATCTATCTACTCCCACAAAATCTCTGCAAATTATATCAAATACTTCTTCGCGTTAGAAGTAGCTCGACTGGGGACGTAAAACATTGAACAAACCTAAATAAAAAAACCTTTTCATTATAAGTACCTATCTGATCACAAGTTACTTTTCTACTTGTTTAATAAGTAGGTACGTACTTCTGTGCAATTACACTCGTAAAAATAATTATACGAGCATTAACTTAGTATTATGGTCGCCAACGAAGTTTCTAAAAAAATATGTGTAAAATGTCTGTGTGTATTTATTAGTCTATATATAGTTTGTGTGTGACTTATTAGTCTATGGGTAAGTTTATCAGTAATTGGCTTACCATGGTAAAGACTCTGCCTAGTTTGAGGTCAGACGGGGATTAATAATTCCAGGAAACTTTTAAAATATCGCTTTACATTATACTTAATTATAGCCGTACATTTATATAATTTATATTTATACTCATGGTCCATATAATTTCCTCTCAGTCAATAACTCGTAAAATGCTTCTGAGAGTTGTATTCTGAAGCGTGGTGATCGTCAGCTGCGGCTCTGTGGGTGGGTGAGCAGTGGTAAAAGAAAATTAAAGCAAATCAAGGCAAGCTCAGACCGTGTATCCCGCCGCAGACCTTGGACCCAGAGTTTGTGCGAAGAGTGGTAGATACCCTCTTCCCGGGGACCGGGTCAGTCCCTCACGCCCTCCGTCTTTATCTTAACCAATTTTGTGGTCCGACAACTTTGAAGCTGACAACCGACCGATGAAGAGCTGGACCGAGCCGTGAAGCGACTCGCCGCCCGCAACACCGACCCGGGCCCTGATGGGATCCCGGGCCGTGCATGGCTGTGCGCTTCGGTGGTCCTAGGGAATAAGCTGAGGCGGCTGTTTACCAGCTGCTTCCGTAATAGCGTATTCCTAACGCAGAGGTGCAGTTCCCACCAGCACGCTTATTAAAGTGGGGGAACAGAGGTTGAGATTGGGCGACTCCACCCAGCATACGCTGGAAGACAAACCACGAAAAGTAAGTGGTAATACCAATAACGGTAATACTGCCAGAAGATCTTTTTACAATGCAGATTGTTCTGCTAACATCACAGGGGTGGATGTAAATTTTATTAAACGGTTGTACATAATTTTACAAGCTCTTTATCAGGTGTAATGATAAATGCTGAACAATTTGGAAATTATGCCATGGAAACTGCTGAAATCTATGTGAGTAATTATGAATGGTATTACATGCCATCTTCAGTTCACAAAATTCTAATTAATGGTCAAAGTATCATTAAGAATTTTGCTGTGCTTTCTATAAGTCAACTTTCAGAAGATGCGCACAAATGCCGTAATAAGGATTATAAAAAATTTCGCCTCCATCATGCCAGGAAGTGCTCTCGATCAGCTACAAATGAAGATGTTTTTCATACTCTTCTCTACACATCAGATCCATACATTTCCAGCCATAGAAAAACATATAACAAAAGTGTAAAGGCACTTGAAATTGAAATTTGTAGGTTTTATAATATAATAATAAATATTTTTTTTAAATATAAATGGCTCCACCATTCCCTAAGAAAATAAAATGAAGGTCATTTATTAAAACTTTTGTTTTTATCTTCGTTCCGTTGTTTTTTCTTTTTGTTGTTTACTTTTTATTTATTATATCTTATATATAAAATTCTCATGTCACAATGTTAGTTACCATACTCCTCCGAAACTACTGAACCAATGTTTATGAAATTTTGTGTTTACATCGGGTAGGTCTGAGAATCGGCCAACATCTATTTTTCATACCCCTAAATAACAAGGGTGACCCACCCTTAGAAATAATGTATATGGCAAAAAAACGTTTGCCGGGTCAGCTAGTTTTAATATATAATACTCTAAAAAAATATAGCATCTAAACTTTATCTGAAGCCTTCTATAATACTCTATGCGTGTGCAAGAATTCAATCGTCTTTCTTGACGAATAAAAAAGTTATCGATTTTGATCTGAAACAGACCTCGATTTTCCATAGTGCCACGGAGCCGCAGCTGACGATTACCACGTCATGAAAATCAAATTACGGGAATTACGTGATCAGTCAGCATGTGGCCTAGTCCTGTGCACCCTGGTTGAAACGTCGGGCAAATCAAATTTATTTATACCTATAACGTGGTCGAGTCAATTTCCGTACATAAACACGTTCATAGTTTCGGAAAAGTGAAGTTGAAGACACCTACACATTCCCGGAGTATTTATAGGTACGATCACCATGTTAATAGGGATAGTCTTGTTGAAAGATCTGTGATATCAGATTGAGTATAAGATGTTATGGTTTCAGATGACTCATTGACTTGTGAACCGGAACCCCCTCCAGTAGTGACGCAAGGAATTTGTGACATAGAAAGGTGCTTTAAGGATCTTGGCCAGTTTGTCGACAACAATTACTTCTCGGCGAAGGAGGCGTGTAGATATTACAATGGGGTAAAAATCATGCCATACCAACTATTTAAACTTTAGATCGCCTGGCGGTCTAATTTGGCCGGTCTTAATTTTTACTACAGTTAATTTTTCATTGCATTTTTATCACTTGACTGACTGACGGATAATATAATTATCCGTCAGTCAGTCAGTTAAACAACGCGCAAGGTCTAAAGAAAATGTAGAGTATTGCACAAACACAACACCTATAAAGCGTAAACGCCGGATTTTTTAATTGCACATATCACTTTTGATAGTTTAATTATTTCTTTACAAAAAGTTCCATGGGAGCCAAATTTGACTTTTAAAAAATACTGTGGTTGTCGACTTCTTGTCGTTTCTTTAGCAGCAAATGACAAAATAATTGAGATCTAAACGGGTCAAGTTCTGTAGATAATCCTATAATTTATTTATAAGAACATACAACATTATAAAATAAATTTCACATACTATTTTTTGTATTTTGTGCTATAAAACCATTTTCTATTTTTAAATATAACTTCTGAAATTTAAATGCCTATTCGTTCACCGGTAAATAATAATCGAACTTAACTAATTACATAAAGCAGATAACTTTGGATTTGACTTGGCTAGTTTTCGCTTTTTTTATATTAGAACTGTTTACTAGCCAGTCCGGGTAACAATTTCCAATCAGGCATTTAAAATTTCCAGTTAGTTGACGAAACAATGGAAGACTTCTCCTATATTAGTCTCAAGAAGTTGCACGACGCTAAAAGGGAAAGGGAAGATATTGTTACAGAATCGTTGAAAAATGCTTGCGACGCAATAAATAGACTTGGTAAGTTTAGCTCCAAGTATAATTTGTGTACTCGAATGTAGGTATATATACAGTGCAACATCGAGAGGTACGTAAACATATATTATATCAAAACTGAAGGGTTAAAATTTTATTATACCAAGTAATTTGTTACAATAGGGTTTGTAAAGAGGTTAGGTTAGTCTAATATTTAGGGCCAGTTTCCGAAATTCTGGCAAAATTGTATAAGGCGGCGGGTCTCCATGTTAGAACTCTACCGTGGGACCTAGAGGCTACAGGGCCTTTAGGTCCCACGGTGAAGTGACGCAAGAAGGCCCGGAATCCGGCACTTCGAAAAATTAGGGACCAGAAATCAAAACTCCGCTATATAATTGTTTATTTATTTTATTTTATTTATTTTTAATCACCAACAAATGATACACATATGTTATGTTAGAACAAAGATACAAATACATGCTTTGTGCTCATACGATTATAGTCAATTAATTAGTTTAAACTGTCGTAACTTCTATTACCTACTGGGATTCTAAGGTCATCGTTTTGCATAGAGGAAATGACCCGATACCTGGACTGCGGTGTGCAAGCGTCCAAGGATGAAATAGAGAATGCAAAGCTGTTGTTCAGAAATTATAAGACGCAATATACGGCATCTCGCATCCAATATGAGTGGGAGAATGACAAAGCTTTGGCAAGGGACCGGCAATGGCAAATTGTAAGTTGTGAGCAAATAATAATCGAATAAACAATGGGAGAGCACTCTTTTAAGGTGAAATCCTATTTATATTTCTTTCTCGGCACGGACGAAAATCATTTTCAGTTTTATGCCAGTTTATGATACACTATCATGAACTTATCAAGAACAGAATGAGTACCTATAAAAATTGACTTCTTTAAACGGGTTATTAAAATTAAATGTTTTTTTTTAACGATTGTAGTAAACACCCGAATACGTATATTTTTAGCCATCATTTTTGACAATATACAATAGTTCACTCTCTATTTTTTTATTTTACAAAAAGTGGGGTGGTTTACCAAATCGGGACTCGACATAAATGTTTAGCTAAGATTGGAGTATACGAATATTTTATGTAATCATGTCACTTTGTAAACAGGTTGAATCACTAGTTGACAAATATACGTCAGAAAATCTGGCCCTATATTCTGGTCTAAAGTACACTGACAAAAGGCCACATATACAGGGCGATCCGGATATTTTATTATACAGCACATTAAGATACGTAAGTATATTTTTTTCATCACTTACTTTAATACTATTTCCCCTGGGATAGGGCCTGACTAGGCATGGTGTCAATTCGGGGAGGACCTGAAATAACATGGTCCGGGTCCTCCCAGAGTAGGGCATGTGAGGCCGGCCGTCGGGGTGGTTTTTAGTGGAATCACCACCTCCTAGCTCCTAGCCCCGAGGAGCAGGAGATCCGAAGGGATTTTCCACCCCGTCAAAAAAAAAGAACTTTAATACTATTACTAAGAAAAGGTTGTGCTTCTGTTAAAATTTATAACGGAAACTAAAACATCTAAGTTTATTTTATTTATATAACTTTAAGACATAATCTTTGAAATAAAATGTAAACATTACGTTTATCATGATAAAATTATTTAATGTACAAAATTACAAAAATAAACAGACTAATTGATAACCTCCTCTTTTGTGTTTTAAAGTCGGTTAAAAATGATATGTGGTTGTAGAGTCACGAGTTTAATAGTCGAACTCTAGTAGTCAAGAGTTGGATAATTCGATAGTCTTAACTCTCTAGTGGCTAGTAGTACCTAAGCGTCGTAAGCCCTTCAAGCTAAGTGTATTATGATTCAAGCTAAGTGTAACAGACGTGTATGGCCTTTTTTTTTTTTGACGGGGTTTAAAATCCCTTCGGATCTCCGGCTCCGTGGGGATGTAGGAGCCACGAGTATGTGGTGTTTCCACTAATAACCACCCCGATGGCCGGACTCAGGCGCGCTACTCCGAGGAGGACTCGGACCATGTTATTTCAGGTCCCCCCGGATCGACGCCGCGCTTAGCCAGGCCCTATCCCGGTGAAAGAAGGCTTCCCCGCCTATAGGCCAATCCTTATGATAATGTTGCGGCCCAATCGCATTTTTGCGACCAAGCCGCCATCCTATCACCTACCGCAGCAGCTAATCTGCTACCAGAGGTCCCCACTCTCTGGCAGCCTGCGGCCAGACGTGTATGGCCTAAGATTTGACTTAAGTAATGATGGACAGTGGAGCTCTATTTTACTTTTTATTTCGATTAGCCATTAACGCGTGTTTTTCAGTTTTACCAAACTATAAATATTAATCCATTGCCAAAACATTACATTACATATTTATAAAGACTTACGTGTTAACGTGATATAAACTTTTTTTAGGTTAAAAAATTAGACGAGGAGTTAAAAGTCGCAAGCGCATCATTCTCTGACCGAGTGAACCGTGCTTATAATGGTAATGTGTTTTTTTTAATATTAATTATTACACTATATGTTGACCCGTATGCTGATCCGACAAAATGTTTAATTTTATAAAAATAACACGAGATTTTTCTCAAAATTTCTTTATCTTGGACTACTTTTCTGATTTTATTTTTAAAAATGTTTAAAAATAAAATCACAAGAAGTGGAAGAGCCATGCTTCCCCACATATGGGCCTATTGGATACCACCGACTCACAAAAAACCGGTGATATACAATGATTTTGCTGCATTTTACCGAGTAAGTGAGATTAGTGAAGGCCCCACCTCTCAATCGTCCCCAAGAGGGGTGGTGAAAGACCGGCACCGACTTTTCAGTTGAATTACGTTTCTTCAGATGACTTTAACCCCTGTTCGTTTGTCTTCTATATCTTAAAATTATTAAGCTTATTTTATTCGGACAAGTGCCAAAGAATTAGTGAAATTAGACGAATTGCGTTTTTATTTAAATATATAATGATGGATTTATTGAAAGTAAATACTTACTAAAAACTACAAAATAAAGTAAAATACTTAGTTAACTTATATTTAATAAGTTAAGTAAGAGTATATATTATAAATATTATAATGTTATAATATATTTGACAGAAAAATAGAATTTATTTTACTACTACTTTTTTATGACTTGTTCTCATCCCTACCAAATATACAAAAAAATCATGAAGCTCTGTCTAGGCGTTACAGAGCAGTACGACAACAAACACCGTAACACAAGATATTTTTATACATATTAGATTATTATTTCACAGGTCTGCCAAAAGGTCAACAAGTAGAACAGAACAGAAAAGCGCAACTGACTGCCGCAGTTGCCAAAAGGAGAGCCGAGGTTGATAAGAATTTCAAAGATATGGTAATGTGAATTTTTCTTTTTAGCCCACTGCCCCAAGTTAGGCAGAGCCTGTAATGTAGTAGCCAGACAGCTTATAAAAATACCTATTATATTTCTAAATACGTATTTAGGTATAAATAAATTACACTCACATGCAAAACAAAATAAATGATCATGCTGATCATACAATTATCATTTATTTTGTCTTGGGTGAGAATCGAACGGCTTCTGGCTCAGTAGTCAAGATTGCTTACCATATTTTTTTTAAACGGTTACAAGCAGGCTTAGTAACTACAGAGACCTAAGTAATTAGTTTTAGTTTTATTTAGTAGTAGGTAGGTAGTTCAAAATAAAGAAATATGTTGTTTAAAAAATAAAGTACCTAACAATTAAACTTAAATCGCACTTGTGGGGGAGTTCTCGTGGCAGATTAGTTGTTGCGGTAGGCGATAGAATGGCGGCCTGCTCGCAAAATGCTTTCGTGCCACAACACATATATTGAATAAACCGATAGGCTAATAGGGGAAGCCTGCAGGTATAATAAAATAACATATAATTGATACGTCTATAAATTAAGAAATCGACTGTGGCCGGGCTGCGCCCCGACACGCTTAGAAAATATATTATAGAAATCTATATCGCGTTGTCTTTTTTTTTGTGTAATTTTCACTTAGTGACGCTTGTTACAGGCCGAGCGCCAAAAACAAAGAAATGATAAACTGCTAAAAAAACTACTGCAGGAACAAAGTGCACGTCATGAGGCTGCACTCGATGAGAAACTGGCAGAAAAAGAGAAAGAGGTATATCTATATAAAAATCATTACGTTTGGTTGGTATACTCAGAGAATACTTATTTTTTGAAAGTATTTTATAATAATAATTTGTTTAACTTGGAGTCTCTACGTAAGTCCAAACATTTTGAAAAGCTAATATGTAGACAAAAATTTTTATTTTTAAAAACTGTAAAAACACATTTATAGAGTAAAGTTTAAAATCCCAATGGTTTATCTTTGTACTGAGTTAAAGACTAATTGACACGCAGGCGCTTCTATTGTACTAAAGGACCGCGGCCGCCAGACCTTCTTTATTTTATAAAAGTTGAAAAATTCTCAGCGCATGTTCCCAACACTAGTAGGAACGATGGCTTGCTATGGAGTTTAGACTATGGTGGCTTTACGAGTAGCTAGTAACAGGTAACAAAGGCTAGTAATATAGCAACTTACTTTTGTTAAAGTTTTAAGTTAATTATGTTTTATTTCTTTCGGGGTAGTAGGTATTACTTACGAAACTTAGACGTAAATTTAAACAAAAAAAATATTCCTTATTTAGATATCGGCAAAGTTCAAGAAAATGGTCACTGATAAAGTGAGAGCTGAGAAAAATAATTTTGATAATCAACTTGCTGATATGTCCAAGAAGCTTGCAGTTGTTGAAGATAAACTAAATGGTATGTGTATTACTGTACGAGTATGTGTATTTGTGTATCTGACACCGGGAATGTAGGAGAGAAAACTATAATTATGCCAAGTTGCGCGATAACTGTTGTTGAATATTGACTTTGTTGTGTACCAAAACATCAACATTACATCTGTAAGTCCAAAAAAACTGTTTATATAATAATAATAATAATCGTTTATTCGAGTAACATTTGACTCATTTGGTTAGGAACAATAATTTTTCTTACAAACTATGTTAATCTATATATCTATTACACCTATTGTATCATGTATGTATGTGAATCCCTACCACATCTTCACAACCGAGGTAGAAACCCTGCAGCAACAGTTCACGTACACACTCACCCACAGGTGCAATTCAGGAGTCACTAACGCGTTGCCAGCCTTTTAGGAAGGAGTACGCTCTTTTCTTGAAGATCGTATTGGTCAGGATATACCACATTTAAGTTAATAATACCGTAATTTTATAATACCGTTAATTAAATCTGTGTTAATTCTAAGTAAGGTAAGTGTCTTGAAAAGCGCGCAGTGGTGCAGCGGGGTCTACCCTTTGCAGAACTTTTTATGTCATAATCTTATTTTGCATAACAACGGATAGCATAAACTTATTTCACAGAAAATGGTTTGTCAGACACTCATTTATCATACATGCAAAACTCATTATTTTCTAAGTCATAATCATCTTTAGGCATAAATTTCATATCCATAACAATGAAAAAGTATAACCATCAGATTGCCGAATGTTCATAGTCAGAATCGTGTTTGAGCATAAATTTTATATCGTTAGTCATTAAAAGGCAGAACTATCATATCTCAGGAAGTTTACAGTGAGGATCATTTTTGGCATTCATTTCATACTAATTAAAAGACTAAGACTATATCTTTCCATCATATTGTATTTCTTACCACACTAATAAAGCCAGCAAGCATGCAGCAGCGCAGGCTAACCTAACCTTTTCCTCAACTCGCGGGCCGCCTCGCCCCTCCGCGCCTTCAAGGGCTTAAATTAGGCAGACAATACTACGTAGAGTCGGTTTGGCAGCGATTCGTTTCTGTCACAAACTTTTGTAACAGGACCTATTACTTTTTAAGATTACATTTATAAAAATACTATTTTATGGTAATTTGCCTAATAAAATTATTCCAAATGAAAGTGTACCAAATAATCGCCGCTCTAAGTAAACGTTATGCCAAACGAAATTATGCGGAATTTTCATTCTGCCGAAAGGTAATTATGCTATAAAACGATGGCGGAAAGCTGCGGCCGGTACTAGTCCGAAAAATCTCGGTGCACTCTCCATGACATTATACGATAGAGAATTCTGAGTGAAGCCACATCTCTACGTAACGCCAAGGGATCGAGCCGATTGGAGATCTTTGAGATATCGACGATTCGAGTCGCTCTTAGTTGGCTGTTGTCCAGCGGGAGAAACTGGTACTGAGGTGCACCTGCACAGAGATAAGAACAGTATTCGGACTTGCGGCTTGTAGACCTGAAGGCGGTGGGCTGACGTTCATTCCTGCTTTCGATATGTTCAGAACACTGAGCTTCTTTAAGGTCAATTTGACCTTAACCTCTAATTGACCCAGAAACTATACGTCGCTTGATATATCGATGCCAGGATTCCGATACTGGCTGAGGCATTTAGGGGGTGCTCTCAAACCGAGGCGATACGACAAACGGTATAGTTTTTGCGATGAACGCGCAAAGTTGTATCTTTTTTGGGTTAAAATGGACTAGATTCGGTCGACCCAAATCTGAAATGACGTTTTCCCGAGAGATATTGGGGCGGCCGGTATAAAGGGCGTCTTACATACTAGCAATGGATGCTACTAGTTTGCAACATGTCATTGATATGCAGAAGAAACAGTGTGGGTGATAACACACAGCCTCGCGGGACACTAGCATTTATGGATTTGAAATCGGAACATGCACCATCAACAACGATTTTATGCTTCAGTCCGCCAGGGGAGCCAGTTACATAATTTCTCGGGAAGCCCATAGGAAGGCAGCTTTCAATTATTTTTTTAACACGTGGAAACCCCCTCGGGCCGTCACCCCACCGTTGTTTGCGGCAGGGTGGTGTGTAGGAATCGGACCGAATAAAACCACACGGTGTGCCACTCTGCGCCTGTTATAGGAGAGATGCGGGAACCGCTATTATTAAGTCATCCGGACCCCTCCTAGCGGCTGCCCGCAATGGCGCGGGCACCATCTTCGGGTACTTCTGAAGCAGCCGTGCCCGGAAAGGACCTGCGTCAGCTGAAAGGAAAGGGTCCCGTGTTGCCGCCCTGTCTACTCGACGATAACCGGCTGGTTCGCCTCCACGGCGGCAATACCAGCACGTGGAGCCTCCAGCCGGGTTGACCAACTAGCCATGGTGGCTCGGCGAGCAGCCTCACGCCACTAGCGTATCCTTTCGGTCGGGGGTCGAATGCCGCTATCCGCCCGGAACTCAGCCGTCCGCCGATATACTTCGGCAAGCACTTCCGGCTCCAATTCCCAGGGGGGTGTTCCGGCCAACGCGCGCACCGCCTCCGTGGATACGGTGCAGTAACGACGTATGGCTCTAACCGCCAATATCCCCTGAGGGCGCCAGAGGCGTGGCCTATTCTGGGCGGTCAGAGCCGCTGCCCATACCGGTCCACCGTACAGTGCTATTGACTAGACAACCTCTGTGTACAGCCGTCTTGTCCCGACGCTGGCTCCGCCTAAATTGGGCAAAAGTCGCCCTAGGGCAGGAGCAGCGCTGCTTCTGCTGAAGCTGTCGGAAGTGCTCGTCGAAGAGCCACCTCCCGTCAAGAATCAGCCCCAGATACTTCATCTGGGCCTAAATCGGTATGAGGACCGAATCGACCACGATAGAGGCACCAGGGGGTGGACCACGACGGGGCCCATGGAACAAGAGGGCCTCCGTCTTACCCAGGGCCACCTGCAAGCCCAGAACCTCAATGCGCCCGACCACCGGAGCGACTCCCCTGGTGGCTAGGCGCGCGGCCTCTTGAAAGTCCACCTCCCGGGCTGTAACTAGCGTGTCATCAGCGTAACAAATAACGCTCAGGTCCTCGTACATAACGGTACGCTCCTCTAAGTAGTCTGCCACTAGCACTTTGGCACCCCATGATAGTGAAATGCCTTCCTGATGCAGCTGAATGGCAGACTGTTGAATGCGTTGGCGATGTCCAACGACACCGCCAACAGCACGCCGCCACGGCTTACCGGCTCTTCGGTCACGGTCCTGAGGCGCAACATAGCGTCGACCGTCGAACGCCCCGCTCTAAAACCGAATTGGACATCCGACAGATCGGGGCCCACCTCGCAGAGGTGCCGGGCAGAGAAAATTTTCTCAAACAATTTACCCGTCTCGTCCAGTAATACGATGAACCTGTAGGCCGCGCCTAGTCTGCAGCTGCAGCACGGAATCTGTAGCTTTTTGACGTGATCCATCAGTCGGTCAGTTTTGATGTATTCAATATGGGAGCTATAGAGGCATGCATAGGGGTATGGGCGTCGCTGTCTACATGGAGCCTCAAGATGGAAAGTTCTCGTCTCGTGAAATCATCTCTAACGTATACGCACACTCCAGTCCTAGCAGCAAAAGGAGTGTTCCAAGTGAGAGACAGGGTAGAGGATATGTCAGATGGAGATGATATCTGCATCTCGGTTAAAAAAGAGCAAGGCAGGCTTCACAGTCTCGAGGTGGTGGTAGACAGCATTGAGGTTGGAGTGTAGACCCCTTATATTGCAGAATTCCACGTCAAGGGTGGCGAGGGATGGATAGGTATTTTGTTCAGCGTAGTTGTGCCCCCCACAGAATACGCGGGGCAGCCTAGACACCCACGCCCAGATACATGGTGTTCTGAGCGTGGACGTCCAGAGGGGGATTCCCCAACGCTGAGTCAGCTGATACCCCAGCTGGTTACTGACTATGCAAATACGCATGACTCACAAAATCAACAACCAATAACTAACAGTCCACTGCTGGACATAGGGAAAATAATAATAATAATAATAACAAAAATATTTCTTAAATCAAGCCATTTCCTCAAACTGGAATATATCACAAGTTAGGTTGATGCATTGGAGGCGTCGGTCATGGTACCGTCAGGTACCTCTTTGTTTGTTTGCCTCCATCTCATGATAATCATCATATACAATAAAAATCGATTACGAGAGGAATGAAGAACAGTTATTGGAACGTAGGTATATAAGGTAATATAATATGTTCCAGCTCGATTAAAAGTTGAACGCGAAACTCGGCGATCTCAAGAGCTATGGGCGGCAGCTGCATCCCTTCTCGCAGCCACAAAGAAAGGCGAACCCTACATCAATGTCAACAAAGAACTTAATGCCATAGAAAAAGCTTCAGGTCTGTTTTAATCCTTTAGGGCCAGTCACTGGCCACCGCTAGGGTCATTCTCAAAGATCTTTGGTAACATAAGGGTGTTACTTAGATTCTCCGGGGACATAGGAATTTAGGTAATAATACACTCGTGAAAATCAGCCCGTGTAAACCTTGTCCCCAATCCAACCCCAACGGGATTTGCGGTGCGGCGGTGGATCGGTATCTAACCCACTTAACCGTACTGGTCCCACTCTGCGCCTAAAATAGGAGGGATCCGGTATCAGCTGTTATTAAAATATTTGAACTCCTCCTAGCGCCTACTCGCAAAAACGCAGGCATTATCTACGGGATAAACTCTCCATTCAGCAAACAAGCAGGCACATGCGGACATAAACTTCTCGCGGCTGGCCGTTAGGGAGTGAATGGAGGCGGGTAGAGAAGAAACCCGTTACGTCTCGTTGCGACCTAGTACATATTCTTCCCGAAGCAGCCGTGCCCGGGAAGGACCAGCGTCAGACATACAAATGCAAGGAAATTGTCCCGTGCAGTCGTCCTGCCCTCTTCGCCGCTTCCTACTGCGCTGCGTGTTGTGGCTTCTATCCCCACATGGGATAACACTTTGTGTGATACACAAATTGTTGTTCTGAGTCAGTGTTCTTTGTGTTCGTTTCACGAATGTTTGTAAAGTCCCCCGCGACACATGATATATTCCTAGTGCGGGAGTTGTCTTTTCTAAACGTTTTTGTAATACTTTTATCCATAGTCGGGTTTTACATTTTTGTCTTATTTTTTATTGCCGACTTTTACTTTAATAAATTGTTTGTTTTTGTTTAAATTTTAGAGGGTCAAGATAAGTTAGTACTCACTGTGTTAAAAGCGATACCATCATCAGTCAGAGACAAAGGCCTCGTTCCAGAAAGCGTGTTGAAGGAAAAGTACAAAGAGGTATGCCAGATGTTTATGTTTTGGAGCGATTATAATCTATTTGCTTTTGGCTGGCTTTCTTGCAGGTGGAACATTCGCAGCCACCACCACTAATATCTTTAGGACTTAAGGGTTTTGACGTGACAGCTTATTGAAACCGAACCCCCTATAATGTGCCTAAAATTGGACGGATTACGTACACGGTTATACGGCCAATCATAGCGTTTGGTGCTATGCCTCTTGACAGAAAATAAACTTAAACTCTATCAAATACAAACTACAGCATTTAAGACACTATCATCATCAACAGCCTTTAACAGTCCACTGCTGGGCATAGACCACTCCTTAGAATGGACACTATCATGTACATGTACTGCCATTATTTTATTTACTTATTTATACTTCCTGCAAATACGCATAAGGTGGACTTAATGCATTGGCATTTTCTACCGGTTAACCTTTGGGTGATGCGGAGATGTGTGTTGTAGGTGTATAATTAAAGCAGATGAGATAAATTATTTATATTATTGTAGTCAGTTGCAAGATGTTAAACTACGTAGATATACTGGGTATAAATTATATTTATATATATATATATATAAATATAATTTATACATACTATATAATGCTATAAATATAAAAAAGATAAACATACACACATACATCCATGCGTGTAAACTTCCAATAATGAAGACACGAGAGGTTATTCTGATGACTCCATCAACAAGTATCCATAGAGCTTGCCTACTCTAATCTTAAAGGTGGTTCAGTTGGTGGACGTCCTGTTCTCGAGGAGGAGGATTTACCGCTTGGACAGTAAAGGAAGAATAAACGATATGGGAGTTACTGCATGCCCAGAATTTCTACAGCTGACCTTAAAGTTGCTCTAGATTTTGCACCCTGTAAATACAAACACCTGGGTCTCTTCAATACGAAAACGGCTTGCGATAATTCTGGTTTATGAAGTCCGGATCTATACTATGCGGATGCAGAGATGGAGTCGGGAACCGATGCCGGAGTTTACTCATAAGAACTAGACGTAAAGATATCACTGTTTCTTGGTCACAATATCTTACATATTGTAATGCGAATAACTTGCAAGAAAAAGTAGTTCCGATATAGAGTTGGATAGCACAACAACGTATGGTCAAAACTGGCGAAAAAACAAATCCTAAATCAAATTATGTTATTAAATAAGTACTGTTTTGCAGATGGAGCGAATCGCAATGAAAGTCTCACTAGTGGAAGAAGATGGTGGACCAATGCCCGTCTATATTCTATCCTGGTTGCAATCTATACTGCTGTTTATGAAGGTACTTATTACTACTAGTGATACTAAAAGCACAAAAAACGCAATGAAAATGAAATCAAAACAGCTGACCTGGAATCGAGTCAATGTCCCGAACTCGCGCGACGCGGTAATTTCTCCTTTGTACTTATATATTTATTCTTCTTTTATTACTTATATTTTTACAAAAAGAAAAGAAAAAAAATAAGCGTTAATCTCTAATAAAAAAACTTCAAATTCGGATTAATCCAATTCTTAGAATTTTCAAGATATCAAAAGAAAAGGTTAATAACACGTTTTGAACCAATTTAGTTAAGTATAAATCCGTTTTGGCGAAAAAACAAAATAATTTCATCAAAATCAGATAGATCAATGTAGTTTTAAATCCACCCGAGCCAATCAGCGAATTGCGTTCATAAGTTCAGGTAAACTCTGCGTCAATGGCACAGTACTCTCTCACTTTTTATTGATTATTTTAAGCGATAATTAGCGAGTTCCAAGTGATAATTACATTAAAATTGTGCCACCAAAGAAAGCCCGCAAACAGCCTAATATAAGTCAGCCGTAGAAAGATGAAAGAGCGAAAATTCGAAATAGTTATCATGCGTCATTTGGAAGTTTTGGGTTGGCACTAGTATTGTTCTAACTATTATCGATGTAACGATTATCTATGCTTTGTTGTTCTACTATTATAAAATAATTTGGTAAATACAAAAACATATTACGAACTTATTTATATAATAAACTAGCTGACCCGGCGAACTCTGTTCCGCCTTAAAGGCAATAAATAAGCCGATTTTCGAATTTAGTAAGTTAATTTTTTTCTTAGAAAAAATCTTCCGTCTTTGAAAATTCTTCGATGAAGCATTCCAAGTATAATAACGTGGCATCTCCGAGTAAAGCAAAGTTCGTGCAAACTTTGTTTTGTTTTTTTTTTTCGGAATAAATAGTATCCTATGTCCGTCTCCTGGCTCTAAGCTACCTCCTTACCAATTTTCAGCCATATCGGTAAAGCCGTTCTTGAGTTATAAATAGTGTAACTAACACGACTTTCTTTTATATATATAGATATAATTATAATTTAACTGATATATGATATATAATATGATATATAATTATAATTCAAATGAAGGTAAATCCTGTTTATTTTTTTTTTTTCTAAAAAATGAATTCTTTTAACACTGAATTTGGTGCACAGGAGCGTTTTCTTTCGATATGTGGGGCATACTGAAAGTCTGGATCTGGCCACTTACAATAAAATAATAAAAAAACAATTATGAAATTCGGAAATGGAACTCTTTGGAAACATGTTACTTTTTAATTTGCGAGACTGTCATTTGTCTTTCCATTGTGACGTCGTTTCAAAAATTGTACGTTGCTATCTAAATGAATTTAACTCGTGAACATTTTCGATTAATGATTTTTTATGATTTTATTATTTGATTGGTGTCATTAATCTGTATGTATTTAGAAGTATATACGGATCCGGATTACATACGCTGCATAGTAGTAACTTACAGAAATTATGATTTTTATAAAATCCACATGTTGCCCAAATTGACGAGATTTACCATGAGTGTATGCTTGATATATGTTTTTGGTGTTTAATACTTCATTTGATTGCATTAATCGAAACAAGTCGTAAATTAAACGCAATAATAATAGCTTACCTACTTGTATTTGGTACTGATATAATTGCATTTAAATACTTACCTAGTCAATGTTTGGATGGATAAAAACTACATACTATTTCAACTTACTAAAACAATTATAAGGCTAGAAGAAAAACAAATAATTTTATGCTCAAAAACCGTGCTTTGTCACAGCGGCAACAATGCCCGTGTGCCCGATCGATAGGTTGCCGTCTATAAATATCTATTTCTTATTAAATGTAATTTTGTGATACATCTGTTTACTTGGTTAATTCTATTGGTTATCTTAATTTTAAACAGCGTTCTTTAATTTGTTTAGATACCAGGTATTCCACAAGAAGAATTTGAAAAACCTCCGAAAGAACCTCCTAAAGAATTAGATACTTTTGATTTACTCCGACGTGCAAGGTAAATATTAGTTAGTTACAGGATTTAATAGTGTAGATAATTCCGTTAATGCAAATGTCCGTTATGGCGGTTAAAAGAGCCTGTGTCTTTTCTCAAGAATCAAAGTATCTTCATACAACATTTCATCTAAATCGTTTCAGCGGTTTAAGCGTGAAGAGGTAACAGACAGACAGACAGATAGATACAATTCTGCAAGTCCATAGTATGTATCGGCGCTAATACAGCTTACCACTTTCGGATGCCTTATCAAGTTTATTCTTGTATGATTATTTATTATTGCTTTCTTTGTATCTACTAAAAAGTTACGAAGTAACAAAACGGTATCGTAGGTACTACATTACTGTACAGAACAGCTGGTATCATTATTTCTAAATTTGACATTTGCACGTATGAATTTGGTCTCGGAGATAAAAAAAAAACGGGCCATAATAACAAACGACTGTCAATTAACGACTTGACAACAGTCTGCTTGGTTACCCACCATATAAAAAATGATATTTTTTTAACCAAAATATTCGCGAACACGAGTGTATTCAAACTTATTTTATGATCCAGCCACTCAGTAACAAGTAACAAACAACTGCAATTGCTTCAGAACGAACAAATAGTTCACGTTCAAAATGTCAAATTCTCAAAATGTCTGTTTCAGAATGTCCAAATCCCTAAATGTCCAGCGGTTTCAAAATTTTCGTTTCCTAAAATTAGCACAACAGGCACTCAAATTGATTTTAAACAGCACGAGTATTTAGAAAACATTTCAAAATGGTGGGTCATTGTTACCAGTGACGCTAGTGTAAAATTGTGTCACACTACACTTTAAGGAAAAGAAACAATGAAAATGTACATATAATGAAATTAACGAAAAATACATTTAACGAACACACACCAAAATCATTTCTGTTCGCACGTAGCACAGAAATTCCTTACCTTTATTAACATGATTGAATTATGATTCAATCATAGACTTCTCCTACTGTAAAAAACCATCACAAATAGGTGGTAGCACACTGACATCTAGAATCCACCTATGACCTCAGGTTAACGTTGTAAGCTGTTTAATATTGGCGTTATTAATGCTAGCGCCCCTACGTCAATCAACATGAAATTCTTTCTCCAAAAGATTGCTGTCTCTTCTACCTTTTATCATTTGGAAAATATAAGAAAAATTAAAAATAATGGTGAATCAAATTATTTTAAATTTCATAAATTAATTTTAATTAAATTTATTATTTCAACCCTATTTAATCCAATTCGCTCATGTGTCAGATTTTGGATGGAGCGTGGCAATTTAGCCATAGCGTTACGCTACGTGAACCATTTGCAAGGTGCGTCGCGATTGGCGGCGCATCAGTGGTACGAATCGGCGCGTGCACATCTCGAGGTGCGGCAGGCAGCCGAAGCTGTGCTGGCACATGCTGCTGCAATGGGTTTGCAATACATATGAACTGTAAGTGCATCGCATAATAACTAACAGATATACGTAGGCAAAGTAAGACTATTTCACGGGATGTATATAAGTACTTTCGTACTAAATATTTTACGCCTTACATGGAAGGGAGCCTAGAAACATTACTCAATTATTATTGAGTAATCGATTATCCCCCTTTTAGCGTCTGCATTCAAAGGGCGGGTAGTTACAGTTATTCCATCACTAACCCTATCGAAAAATTCATTTTTTGCTGATTTTCAACACTATACCAGTGCTTTTATTACTACGAGTATAGTAAATATACACTAAGTATATGATAAGATAATATGACAAATATATACTAAGGTACGGTATTAACCTTGCTCTTCGGTAGGGTAGAGTTGTTTCGTTGGTATACCTGCGCCTCTAATTCTTAAGAAACTGCTTGAACGATAATAGATACTTTACTAAATATATTTATTTATTTGATACTTTATTTATACTTTATACTTGATGATGATGATGATACTTTATGCACAAGTTAAATTGTACAATGGCAGACTTAATGCCAGAGGTATTATCTTCTAGTCTACCTTATGGCAGTGCAGAGATGAGTGGCTAGGTGCATAAAGTTCAAATAGGGGTAAAACGAAACAATCGCTTGATAGATTATATAATAAAATATAATAAAACACACGTAAATATACGTAAGTACAAAATACATAAAGTATTATGGTCGTAATGAATTTGTATTTTCAAAATAATATACAAGCTCGAACTTATTTATTCGAAATTATATAATTATTATTATATACACTACTATTAATTACCTGGTGGGGTTACCGGTTTAAAGTCAATAGAAAATATACGGAATCCATCTTAGTATTCGCAAACGACCTTGCGATCCTCAAACGTAACCCGAAGCAATGCCAAGAGCTACTGCATAAGGTGACTTCTGTACTTGGACGAAGGTAATGAGGACAAAACCTAGCAAATGCTATTGCCTTGGTCTGGGCCGGCCAGGTACGAGATATACCTCAAATGACCCCGAGATTACTATTAGTGGGGAAAGTATTTCAATAATATCAGAAACCGTGCCCTCTAAATTCCTTGGAAGAGAGATCAACACAGGGAAATAACTACTATGTAACAGTTTCTGAGGTATGTGCGCGTCGCGAAGTTTCCATAGATATGTATACAAAACACTTGTGGCATCGTCTTTTGAGCCATTTGTCAAAATTTCATTCCAATTAATTTTAGAAAGATCAGAGGTAATTTGATCCTAGTCGCCAATAGCGTAGTTAAAAAAAAACTTTTATTTTGCGACAGTAAGCTATGGGTGGGTAATTCCAATTGGATACAGATCGATTTATGATGCGGATCCTCCTGAACAAGCGGGTGATCGCAGCACTTCACTACCACATTTACATTATACAACACAAGATCTAAAATTCTATCATTTATGTTTTTTAGATTATTATATTGATCAAGATTAGATTCCACTAACGCGTCCAAGAAATATGTTTGGCTCTCATCGAGAATTCTTGTGGGCTCCATCATACCACCGTCTAGTAGTAACAGATGGAATATTAAAATCACCAAGTATCAAAAATATATCATTGGGATTAGAGTGAAAATTACTACTAAGTTTATCAGAAAGGTTCACTAACTGAGTATTTATTGAGCTACCTCCACTTTGGTTACATAAATATACAGTACACACTTGGTGTTTAACAATGCCACTATCAGAGCGCAACGTTACTGAAACCCATATATCTTCAGCCGACGAGCGCCAGGTTGGCTGCTTAACTGCAGCGAATCTATTATCTATTATTAATAACAGTCACTTCGGATAATATTGTTCGTAAATAGCTCGGTCAATGTGTATCCAAAGTTTGGTTAAAGTTAGTGGAGTATTTAGAGCATGAACGCGCAAGAAACGTACACAGTGACATCAAGATTTTCATCGTAATCATTATCTTGATATTATTTGCGGTCGGCGCAACTTGTAACATTTAAGGGTTTATTAATGGTTTTGACTGGTATTATTAGGGTGTGTAATTATTTTCAGGCGGGGCACAGGAAGAAGGTAAATTAGGGTGAAATAAGAATGCATCTAAGGAAGGCATAATGAAAGACGTACTGCAGGTCTCGGACGGAATGATCCGTGTGTTCGTTCTGTGATTGGAGACGCTACTAGGACAGCGTCATGAACTGGCGAGTCAAACGCAAAGCCACATTCACATTTTATAATTTGAATTAGTTAATATTTAATGAAGCAAAAGCGGCAAAGAAGTTTTATTTCTGCGCATTCTGTTCTTATTTCTTTTAGCAGACCAGTGTATTGGAAGTCTACTAAGTTCTAACCATCTTGATTTTCTTGTTTCAGAAACCGAAAATTTCTCTTTACCAAGTGATTTTATTTGATCAGAAGAAAATGACTGCGACAGAAAGGAATATTGTAGAAATTTTGTGTATCTGTCTCGTTTTATTGGAGGGTCATAAAATATTTGAAGAGTCATAAAATTCTTTTTTGTAACACTGTTTTATTTTCGTAACACAAATGGGTAAAGCCATAACAGTTTAGCGCTCCTTGCTTTTCTGTTTGTGAACCCCTTTTTATTTGACGGTCCCGGACTTTATAGAATGTATAGAACTAAACGGCTCAGTGCCTGCCAGAGGTGGCTTGCGACTGCACAGCGCAACTTTTTTGTTACGTATTTTATTATGATAATGGATGCAGAAGACTTATTAAATGATCTTTTAAATGTTTTCTTTCTTGACATCCTTTTAATGGCAATCCAAAAAACAGAATTTAGCCACAATAAAAGTTCTGGTACTATATCAATTTTCGCTTTTAGTACTCTTCTTCACGAAACCAAACAATAAGTATGTCCCGTACTAACTGCAAACAGGTAACTCGATTATGAATTGCTATCGATCGGTCCGAAGTAGGTAGTCGCTCATCGCTAGTCGACCGCACGCTTCACTGTTTTTCGTAGCTTGAAGTCGCCGCAGGTCGGTGCGACCGAATTCGCGCGACATCGCTGGCATGCTGCACGAGCCTTAGGCCCGAGGTTATCTGATCGTCGGTCGCGTGCCACCGATGACCGACGCTTGTCCGTCGGCGGTGGCGCTTGGCGTCTGGTGGTCGTGATCGTGAACGCTGCTTGAACATCGTGTTTGTACTTGGAGCAAAATGAACGAAAATATATTAACATTGTAAAGAGAAGAAGTGAAAGATAAACTTCTGATATTTTCAAACAAAATAAAAATAAAACTAATTCAATATTCATAAAATCACCGACCCTCATAAATTGTGTATTGACGCATCGAACGAGATCGTATTATATCGTATAATAATTAACATTTCGTCCCTTTCCTTTATTAAAACTCATTTCAAAGCCAGGACACAAGAGTAGATAAACGGAACAGAGACAAAGCTTCTCAAGAACGTGCAAACTATTAATCTATTTTGGTACGGTTGTCACAATAGGTGAAGAATGACAAATTAAACAAAACATTTGTTAAATAGTTTTATTATTCAGTACTCTAATATTTTCTTTTTGGAACGAAGTTCTAGACCGAAAAAAGTGTAACAAGATTTTAACTTTTTATTTTAAATAGTCTTGTAGGATAAATGAATGTAGATTTCATACTTATTGCCTATGATCATTAACGGTACAGTAATAATATTATATTTCTACAAAAGCTGCGAATATTGAGATCCTGCCAACTTTAGACTATGTGTACCTAGCTTTAGTTATAAGATTTAATACACATGTCTGTTTATGATATACTTAATTCCTGGGAAGACACTAAAGTCTAAGATACAGGCTCGGCCTAGTTTAGACGTTAGACATCAACGATTATTATAAACGCCCAGTTCATGAGTACATCATAACTTTTTACATGTTTAAAATCAAATGTATTATTGTGGTGTTGGTATTGGTATCAATAAATTATCATTAACATACATTAAATTAATAATATATATACATACCCGTGTGGTGACGGATTAAGAATACAGAGTGTCACCACCCCTATTCATCCCGAGGGTGTCGTAAGAGCCGACTAAGGGAGAAAACTACGCAGGACAACAGCACTGTAGAGAGAAGGAAAACTTGACACAAACCCTATACAAACCCGTCTGGCCAGCAACAGTAACCATTTTAATCTCTAATACTTTATTTTAATCTAATTCGTAAGGTTTAGCCAGCGTTTGCAATGTAAGCGCACAAAAACATGTTTTTTACGAATTCACTTTACAAATCTTTGAAATTCTCGGATTTCCTGTTCTGTTATATGCATATAAACCCGCCTCTTGAATCACTCTCTCTATAGGTGAAAACCGCATTAAAATCCGTTGCGTGGTTTGAAAGATCTAAACGTACAAGAAAAAAGTGACTTCATTTTATACTATGTAAAGATAGCAAACCATGTTTATTATCTGACTGTACAAAATAGTATATTTTTTGGGTGGTTTTATATATAATATTATATTGTTAAAATTAACAAGTGTTGATTCGGACAAGTATCTAAAAATTATTTGTGTCCAAGCTAATATGTGGAAACAAGTGAATTGCACTGTTAATTAATGTCAATTTTCTAAAAAAAAAAATGATTGAGAGTAGATAGGTAACGAAATTAATTTAGAGTGACCCCATATAATAATTAGACAAAATAAAATAGATGAGTTTTTACGAAACTAAAAAATACCTTTTATATAAGTCATTCATGGACACGCTACAAAAGAAAATGATTAGGAAATTAAAGAATAGCTAATAACTTCGTAGATACTGTACTTTTTTATGACAGCATTATACGAGCATTTAGTATAAATTTATACAAAATATAGATGTCATGTTCTAAATTTCCTCACAAGTAGATCCATTAATTTTCTGTACCATCTTTATACTTACATCTATTGCAAAAATCTTACTCATATGATAATCGTACTAACCTCCCTAATATTATAAAAGCGAAAGTATATGTGTTCTTTCGTTCTTGTAGACTTATCCCACGCTATGTACTGT